ATATATATTATACCTAATTTAGCATAGTGGATTCTAAAGAATCTACTTTATTATAATATATATATATACTTTATAACTCAAGTCTTAACAATAATTAAAAGGCAAGTTAAATAATTTACTATATATTAGGTAATTAAAGCTATTTAAAGTAAGTTATAGGAAGAAAATATAAACTAGCTAGCTAAAGAGTAAGGCTTTTTAACTAGCTTAAGTATAATTAAGTTTAAGCTATAATTAAAGTAATTAACTTTAATAATATTAATTTAATAAAGCATTATTACCCAGAAGGTAAGTAATATTTAAATTATACTAGACTTTAAAGATATTTAAATACCTTTTAAGGCTTATATATAAATTTAAAAAAAAAAATTATAAATCTTTACTTTTTTTATATTTATTTATACTTTATTAATTTAGCTTATTTTAATAATCCCTTTAAATTTATTATAAATCCTTTATAGCTTTTTTATTAATCTTTTACTTAAATAGATCTATATATAAAAATTCAAGGGTTTAGGTATATAATATACTATATTATCTATCTATATCTCTACCGCTTTAAGATAGAGAAGGGAAAGCTCTTTGTGGTGCCTGCTGGGACCCCTGATATATGACCCGATAGTGTCAGTCGCTAATGAAATGCACTACACAGGAGCTGGAAACGGAGAAAGTTCTATTTAGTCCAATATATTGGTCTGTTTCTGTCCGTTCCCCTGCACGTTTCCCAAAAGCTTCAATAGCTCAAACCGTTTATTGGTCAAGATATGCTCTCAGCTTTCTGCTGTATGTACTATCTTCTGCTTTTGTTAAACTATTGATTTTTTATACGCAACTACCGTCTGGCATTGTCTAGACCCCAAAGCCTGCAGTCTTAAATAGTAAATGCTCCGACAAAGCTGAAAGATATTGTTGGACTAGTGATTTCCAATCTGTAGCTAGTATGGTCTGGATTGAGGACGATGTCCAAAGAGTCCGGCTATTCAGCCGAACAGCATACGAATTTCCTGTTCAACCTTTCCGCGAATACCAGATACCCAGCCTTGCGTGTTCATGTCTTGTACAATATTTCTGCTAGTGTCATCAAAATCGTCTGCCTTCCATTATATCCTCACGACGAATGATCGAGATAGCGGCATACTGGTTCAAGCCCTCAATAACCTCAATCAAAATTCAACAAGATGCCTGTCGAAAGTTGGACCCTTCGCAAGTACCCCCCAGACAAGCCCTCGATCATCCTGAATGGGACAGATACTCAATGGCCCTACGACGGCTCTTTGGAACTGAACCACGACGTTGATATCTATACTGAGGCAATAACCCTTCCCACCCATATCAACGCCAAAGGGCACCATGTCGGCATTTTTGCCAGTTCTATTAATACTTTGGGTGCCGTTGACCTCGTTGTTTCGGGGACAGATGGTAACTCGGAGCTTAAGAGTTTGTCATCTGGGGAAGATAAGGGGTCAGATGATAAGTCTGCAAATAAGGCTGCAGAACCTTCAGGTGCCGTGGCGGGAGTACGTGGTGGCAACGCGGGAGATGTTCAGATATATGTAGAGGATGCAAACCTCGACACTTTCAGGAATCTTCGCGTCCGTGCTTCTGGAGGGAGAGGAGGAAATGGTCAAGACACAGACAAGTTTGACACCGGTGGTCTCGGAGGAGATGGCGGAAACGCTGACCAGGTCACTGTCGCCGTTCGGACCTGGGGTTTCACATCAACCCTGAACGAGAGAGCGACAGCCATCTTATTCTCTACGGATAAAGATACAGAAGCTCAGAAACGCAAGCTACTTAAAGACTTCATGACCTCTTGTATCCGCTTGGAGCACCCCCAGGGAGACAAACCTAACCACTCCAAAGAGATTGCCATTTTAAAGGCATCTATTGTGAGTGACAAAGGGATTGCAACCATTATGAATGAGTTTCGGGCAATGATCGGGCATATGTTCAGGCAAGAAGCCAGTGCCTTCGAAGCAGTTATCGGGTCGAGAATTGAATACTCGGGAGGCACGTATGGTCTCGGTGGTCGAGGCACAAAACATACAAATTCCAACGGAAAGACTGGAAAGGAAACTATTCCAGAGATTGGGTACTGCTTCCTCCAGCCAGACCTGTTGCGACAACTTTCTCTGCCGATTGCCCATCCCGATCAGTGTTCTATGATTCTTCAACTAGCCAAGATCGACTACTACATCGGTAGCAACGATTCGCTAAAGAGTGCCATTGACCGTCTTACTCGCCTGCGAGATCGCCTTCTGTTCCTTGATGGCTTGACGCCCGAAGACCCAATCTACAAAGCGTACAAAGACGCCGAAGTCCGTATGCATCTCCTACCAAGGGCGCAAAGTATCAGCACTTTTGATGAGCCAACCGCCTTTGCTGGGCTTCGGGAGATTTCTGATGAAGTTGATGCTCTTCTGCGTCAGATTGCGGGCGGATTTGACTTTTATGGTCACAAGACAGACTGGGTTCCGCGAGGATCACATGCCTTCTACGACAAGACGACCAAGGAAATGCTGAATCACGCAATCATTGCTGAAAAGGCATGGACCGGCTATCGAAAAGCCGACAAGGAAAATTCAGTCAAGATGGCTGCCGTTCGCGAGATGCGGAATCAGGCACGAGCTCGCGCTGATGCTGCGAGTGATTTCATCACCTACATGAAACCCATCATCGAAGCCTCTGCCAACAGTATCGGCTCCATGGACTTTGACATGAAGCAGCGAAAGGCAGAGCTACTGCGAAAGATCAAAGACCAAAATATTGCCATAGGGCGTCTGGAGCCTAGCCTGGGCATAAACTTTGCTGATATGGTTGAGGCTGCGACCATGGTAGCTTTCTGTCCTAACCTGCCCATGGTGCTTATCCAAGGTGCTGGTCTTGTATACAAATCGCAAGATAACGCCAAGATTAAAGATGATGATGACGACGAGTCGGGTATCAAACAGGAACTTCTGGTGAAGAAGATGACAACGATCGAGAAGGGAGTTGAATCTCTCGTCTCGGCTTACCGCGCCAATGCTGCCGACGATCGATTGGTAGAAGCAGATGATCCTGGCGCAGACAAGCTGATTGCAAAGAAGGAAGAATATATGGAACTTGTAGGGAACTACAAAAAGGCTCTCGGAGAGCAGAGCATCACTGACGTTGAAAAAGCATTCGAATCGTATATTGGTGAGTTGTTCGACTCTCAATGCGTGTATTCGTCCATTGATAGGGCAATACTAACATACTGGACATAGAGGCTGCATTGCAGAGAAATAACCACATTCTCATGTACAATTCGACCGTTAACCTTATTCTCAAGAAGAAGCAAGAGGCCAAAGCGTCAGAAGCCCAAGCAGCCCAGTTTTCTGACGAAGCACTTGCAACTATCGACCCAGATCTTCCGGCCATCAGCATTTTCATGGAGCGGATCTACTCGGAGTCTCTGTGGCTGCTTCTTGAATCCCTATCAATGACCCAGCGAGCGCTACGGTTCTGGTCGCTGACTCAAATTGACGAAATTAAGGAAGCCCTGAAAAACAAGCCACCAGCCCTGCTGGACTCAACGACGTTATCTCACGTTCGTACTCGCCTTCTCAAATCCTACGAGAAGGCAGTGGAACGCGCAGGTAAAGAGCCACAGCCGTTTTCCGGGATCAAATACCCCCTCTCTGCGACCGAGATCCGGCGCTGGATCAATCATCCCCAGATGAAGACGATTGTCAAGATCCCGCCTGTGTTTCGCGAGACATCATCAGAGAAACATCCTTTCTATGGGAAAGCAAACGTGCGCCTCCACACGGTTCGGTTCTTTGCAAAGAAAGCTTATGGCGACGGCGAGACACCTCTGGTCAATGGTGAAACACTTTTGGTGAAACTAACACACCTTGGGGAGGAGACGATCGTGAACCCCAGCAACAAGGCCTTCACATGTGTGCACGAGCAGATAAAATTGCAGTTCCAATATAGAGTCAAAGATATGGCGTTCAATGTTCCGGGGACGGTTGATGGGAATATTGGCGAAAAGACGCAGGGGAAGTATGCTATGGTTGGGCCTTTTGCGTCATGGTTGGTTGATGTTGATCCTCTTTATAATACTGGTGTAGATCTGTCAGGTGTCACGGAAGCATGGTTCGAGTTCAGTGGGGAATTCGATTCATTCTAAGAAGGAAAGATACATATAGTAAAACACACTGAAGTTTAATAGAATTATTCTTATTAAGAAATTTTAATAGAAAATCTAGATAATAATACTGAGTATATATCTGGAAAACCAGGATATATAGGCTTCTAAACAGCTATCCTAAATCAGAGGCAAATCCGCGTTAGCTTGGGTCCATCCAGTAAATTAGTAGCTGACGCTAAGATCCGGGAGCACTAAGAATACTAGAAATAATTAAGTAATAGGTCTGTAATCGAGCATGGCCAGCTTTTATTATTTCTTTATGCTTGTTATTATCGATGGCCGCGGTAACGTCGGAATATGTTACGCCGCGAGTCCGGATTGTCCTAATCTTATCCTCCGCGACTGGCCTTATAAATCCGCTGTCCCTATATTCTCTTAGAAGTCCTGTAGGGTAATAAGCAAGCTATATCTAAGCTGCTATTAAGTATAATATATAATTAAACTTACCTTATATAATACTTAATTAAGTAATTCTTTAAGTATAATAT